TAAGAAATGGGAGTTCATGTAGTAACCAGCTTCATTTTTTGATTTGTAAATTATTTAAATTTACATGGTTTTTTTCCTTTCCTTATATTAGCAGTGTTCGATTTGGTCCTGAAAGTGTACACTCCTTGAAGTTAGGGGATACTGAGGTAAGGAAAGAATGAGCTTCCCAGTAGTTCCTGTAATAATGCACACTCTTGCTGGCTACAGTTGATTGTGTATTTGCCTGGATGTGGAGTTCTACAGATTAAAATATCACCCATGTATTCCAGTAATTAAAACAAGTTATGCCTCCTGGCAATTACTTCTTACTAGTTTTAGTTCAGATACAATCTATCTGATTGTGATTCAACAACTTTTCTTTGCTGGCAAGTGTCTAGAATGGAGCCAAGGATGGAGACAGAGAATCCTCAGTACACTGTAACAAGCAGTTTGGAAAAATGTGGTTTAACGGCTCTTTGAAGGAGTCAAGGTATATATAAAAGGACTTTTCGGTATTTATTAGTTTAATGGTATACAGGCACTTGGTGGAGTCCACATCAGTGATTTTTCTTGAACAGTACAAAATCTCCGTCAAATACTCACATTCAGTGAAAATGCAGTGGCCTTTGGAGTACCAAAAACTTAAACTACATTTTTCCTTTTTCCTTCTGTGTCCCCACGCCAGACTGATTTTATTATGCATTCCAAGAGCCATGGGAGGTATCTAATTCATTTTAGAACCGACACTGATAATTTAGTGATGACAGACCACTTCCAGATGTGAAATCAGACTTTCCCAGTTTAATTTTTTCCTTTGACTTAAAATCCAACTTTACTGCTAACAGCGCCACCCCCCCACCCCGGGGGGCAAACTGATGCTTAAACAGCAGTTTAGGGTGGGGCATCTGTATGTTCGATTTGTGAGTTTGGTTTTCTTCCAACATTCCAATTTAGACTTCAGAGTTTTAGGTAGGTGTCTTCATACAAACTCCACCCACTAACTTCAAGTTTGAAGTTTTCCCACCAACTAGAAATCTTAAGTTTAAGCTTTGAACAATTTTTCAGTGTTTTTTACCTCACTGAGAAAACAATGGGCAAAAGCAACACTCATTAACATAAATCATTTAATTAGAATGTATTCAAGGCAACCTTCCATTTACACTACTTAACTGTTTTAATTTTATAAGACAAAATTTAAAACACTGTGATTAAGAGCAGCTTTCAAAATTCAGGTTTCAAGCATAACCATGTTATTTTATTCATTCCCAACCTTGATAGAAGTTCTAAGTAAATGAATGATCATGAAATTTTTAGTATCAACTCCAACAGTTCTGTAAGAAAATACTCGTGGATTCAAATGCAAATATTTTCTTCTCTTAGTATTTGATCTTAACCATTCTTTCCCATGACTTTCCTTAGTATCCAGTTAAGTAACCAGAGAATAAGTAATATCCAGTTACATAACAGGAGCATACATTAAAAAAAAAAAAAAAAACAGAATAGTTACAATTTCATCCTAATTTTGAGATGCTCTCTGAACTGTTGTATAGCACATATGTACAAATAAGCACTTTTATGATGGTGTGTACTCTATATACTTCACAAAACAGCATAACTGGAAAAACCTAATTTTAATATACATCTTCAGGAAAAGTGTAATCACAAACTATCACTAATATTTTCTTTTAGCTGTGGAGTATTTTTAACATAATTGTTAAATGTTCCATTAGTTTAACTGTCTTCTAACAAGACCACAGAGAGTTACTTTAAAGAGGTAGCTGATAATTATAAAAACTTACATTAGGAAGGAAACCCAAATATCATCTACTCCCTTCACTCACTCAATAGAAATATTCCTCCCTAATATTAATATAACATGAATGATAGGCTAATAATTTCTTATTTAGAAACATACTGATCCGACTTTTCCAGGAAGAAAAAAACATTAAAACCTGCTTTACAAATTATACCTTTTGAGAAGCTAGTTTGATGCTTGAAGTCAGAATTATTTTCTGGATCTGGTGAGGCAAGCTTAGTTACCCACAGGAGCCAGGGAGATGAGGGTAAAAATTAAAGCAAGATAGGATGAAGGAAATCAACAGTTAGTTGTGAAACCAAGGGCAGTAAGGAGTGTGTGTGTGTGTATGTGTGTGTGTGTGTTTGTGTGCTGGGGGGGTGATGACAAACTGGGGAGTGCATGGTTTAAAGGGAGCATCAAAATTACTCATTTTCAGCTTGATGGCTACCACCTGAGAATGCAGCCTTCAGCATTCTAGGTATTTTGAAGTGCAGACCTTGTGAAAACATGTATTTTTAAGTCTAATCTTTAGACTTTAAATGATAGAAGGCAGTTAGAAGAGCAACACTGTATGGGCCAGATCAAACTCCCTCTGTGGGCTGCTAGCACACACATCTCGTGCTCTGGATCTTACCTTTGCCAGCTACTTTTAGAAGTGTGTGAAAAAAATACTGCCAAAGCCAGAGGGTCTTGTGATCAGAAAGAAGAAATTTGGAGATCATATGGACAAGAACTGGGAAACTGCAGGTACAGGGGAGTCGTCAAACTTGGGTGTCAAGATGAAATTTTAAGAGACCAGGTTTTAAACTACTGGAAACAACCTTTTTATCGGTTCTGCTTTGTTCAAGAAATTGATGAGACTAGTCCTTTTCATAGGACTGACAAGACCGAGATTTGGCAGCATTCCTTTCTTTTTCTTATGTGTAAAGACTACAAATTGTACCTGTTTCTCAATTAGAAATGGTAACTTGTTTTTTGTATGTACATCCAGCTGAGGACACTATAAAAATCTGTTTACTGATTTCCTTTTCATCACTGGAATCAAGGCAAATAGTATAATCACCTTCCAGTTAAGTGATAGAGCTCCATAATATCAGACTATCTTTTCTTTTAAATTGTGTTAAAAGCATCAAAAACTAAAAAGGAAAATGTGCATTATTCTGATGTTTCTTGGGGGGGGAGGAGGGAGCGTAAGCAGCACTTTCAGCTGCAGTTGGCTTGAGAGGATGAAACATATGCACGTTTTCCAGTTGGTTTATTGCACTTCATGTACAGTCATACGTGGTTCTCCATTCACATGTGATTTGAGACCTATGCAAACTTTTCTCTATATATACAATTTCCACAAGTTTTAAATGTCTTATACACACTACAGTATAAACCATAAAGATGTATTTGGTAATCAAAACTTCTCAATAAGAGCATTTAAAATTATATATATATATTATATATATATAGTTTTTTACCCTGGGAGCTGAGCTTTTTCCACAAGGTGATGTCTTTTGCCAAGAAAGAGCAAAATCATAAGCAATGCAAAATCAACATTGTGTTGCTATTTGCTGCACCTACCATCCACTTCTAATCTGAATTATTTCTTCCTCCTTCTCTCCCGCCCCTGGCAATTAGTGCAGCAGAAACACAGACAGGAGAGCACTATGCTTAGGTGAACCAGTTTGATTCAGCATTGAGTACCAGGTATGCATAGAATTTTAGTCTCTTTGTATCAAAGGCATTTCAAATTAATTTTTTATGAAAGAAACCAAAATTACATGTGTACCATATGAGTATTCCTAAAAGTGTTGCCTATAAAATGTAAGATTTTTTCTATTTTAGATAAAGATATTAAGGGATTTGTGACAATGTTAAATAACTACCTTGGGCACTTCTAAAAAGTTTGTGAGCCAAAAAAGTTTTCTGAGTCATTTTTGCTATTATAATTTAGCATTACATTTCATTCTACTAAAAATCATTTGCTAGAAATCCTAAAATAGCTAATTGTTACAAAGGAATACAGACATTTTATCCCAAACAAGCAAATGAAAAACAACAAAAAACTGGAGAAACTCTGAACTGTCATATAGGATATATAAAAGTGTTAGGCTTCAATGGTAAAGAAGATTCTTGATTTGGTAACAAGCAATTTCATTTAAACCTATTGTCTGCTTTCACTGCACTAGAAAATTTAGATCCTATTTATCTAGTATTTTAAATTTTTTTTTTTTTTAGAAAAACTTCACCACCACTTTTGTGTATGAACGTACACGTCTTGCCTTTGTGAACAGGGTGCTTCTGCGGCTCCGGGCGGAATCTACGATGTGTGCAGGTGGCTGCACTAGGGTGTGTGTATCTGCTTTCATGCTATGTTCGTCCTGACACTTTGCCCAAGAAATACATGCTTAACTACTAAGTACATTAATTTTACCGATTTCTCGACTGAAAGCTTAACTTTCAATTGTTTTGTCAAATGATAGTATAAAACAATAGACTTAGCATTTTATCATTCTAAGAATTTGGTAGTTTCATTTTTAATACTATTACAACTTTTATTAAAATGGGATTTGTACTTTTTCCACCTTTTAAAGTCTTTTCCAACATAAAAGGTGACAATATGACATACTTATACATGAAGTACCATTAACTGAAAATGAGATGAGACTGTATTCAGAGGCTTCAGAGAATGTGTAGTGAGTTGCATAGAAATTCATCAATTTATGTGACACGGTACCGTGATGACTTATAGATTAGCAGCTCGACAAGTATCTTCAAATTTTTACAGAATAATATATGAACTGTACGGCAATGAGAATGTTTACAGATAGTAGCATATTAAAGCTGTCTACCTAACAGAAATACACGACCCCCCATCAAATAAACAACTATATTTGAGCCAAACAACTATCTCTATGATGATTAAATTAGCTATCACTATTGTATGTAATTCACTTATGTAGATATTCTATGGGAATATATAAATATGGGAGTACTTTGACAGTCTGATTGGTTAATAGCATATTGGTATAGTTATGTCTTTTATAACATGTAGCTTTCAGCCCCAAGTTTTAGAACTTTAAAATAAATAAGTGTAATTTACAAAAATGAGTCCATTATTTACAAACATAAAAATTCATCCTGAGAACTTATTATCCAGGAGAACTATTTCACAGAAAAGGAAATTACCAGTATCTGTGAAATAAAAATGTACCTCAAGAGTTAAAATTCATATGTGGAGGTCAATTTACCTAAGTTGCAGCCAAGAAAAGCATGAAGATATTTAATAAATCTTAAATTGATTTGCATGCAAGAAATGAATGAGATGTAACTTCTCAAATGCCACTGTCATTCTCCCCTAAACTTCTTGTATTAATGGAGTATTCTGGCTGTATTTTGGAAGAGGGTGAAAGAGAAAGAACACCTCAGGAAAACTCAAGGATGCTGTCTCATCTCTCCCTAGGGGTTACAAGAGGAGAGAGGCGGGGTGCATTGTCATTATTAATGGCTTACTTTGGACTGTTCTGAGAAACAGAGCCACTCTACCTTTGGCTTTACCTGGTTGAGCCCCCCCACCCCACCCCAAAAGGAACAATGGCTGAAACAGTTCAACACTTTATAAAGGAAAAACGTCTAATTAAAACACAAATGTGAATAAAGACAAAGCCTCATCAGATTCTTTGCTTTATAATGTGACCATAAAATTACCTACTTAACAGAAATTAAAAGAAATGGTTCAACAAAGAATCAAACTGGTTTTTTGGGGTATATCATCACAACGAATCTCTTTACTCTTTACGCTGTGAGCAGACAGTGATTATTTTGGAGAAGGAAAAATAAGAAAAGTGTGGAATTAGTAATGCAAGAGGCTGAAAGGCAAGTGGCAAGACTAGAAGAATGCCTCAAACCGATGCTACTTTGTTCCCATCTCTACTGGCACCTACCCCCCAAGGTAAAAGGCCAGAATAACCAAAGCCATCTTAACAGTAGTGTGCGCAATTGTCAGCTGACAAACAACATAAAAACAAGTCACGCTATGTTATCTGTGGTCACGTTCTTCAGGGTTAGTCCAGTAACTCAAGACTTTACATTCTTTTGTCTTTATTTGTTTATTTTAATTAAACACGAAAAGGTTAATAAACAGACATAGTCCAGAGTTAGTAGGTTGGTATTATAACATTTATTAAAATAATGCTATGGGTTAATAGAAACAGCAAAGAACCAAAGAATTAAAATGCAAGCTATGTAAAATCCCAACTAAAACCCAAAAGTGTCTAATGTATTCATTCATTCATTAGCTAACTAAAAGCCCAAGAAAGACAAGACACCCAATATAATAAAGTACTGCAAAACAATTGGCAATTTTCAGTTATCAAAATTGTGGATTCTGCATTTTGTATCCTTTTCTCAATCAAGAAAAAAATTCTTTTTGAATGTTATATAACATACATATAAAACAAGATAGAAAAATACATTATAAACTTGTAACAATGGCTGTAAATACATTATCTTACATGTTTCTCATAGGCAATAGGTTGGTTATGATACATACATAGCATGAAACTACTAAGATAATAAAGAATTGACAAAAATACATGTCAGCTGTACGGTAACATACAAGCGACACTCCCATCTACCCACACTAAAAAAATTACATAATACTGTCAGAAAAGAAGTCTTAAAAACTACATATTTTAATAAGAAATAAATTCAATAAAGAATGATAATACTGAGAACCAAGGCATTCAGAGATTTCAAAAGTCATGCTTTTTTTTCAGTTGATCCAAAATTTTATCAACTAAGTTTTCAAAAGTTTTAGAGCCAACATTACTCATAAATGTCACACATTTATTTCATACATGTACTTTCTTCCCCATAAAAGACCTTTGATAAACATCTAAAATGTCCAGGTATAACGTAGTTGAGATGAAACTGGATCAAATACTGGTATTGTTTTTAAACTACTATCACCTCAAGTGTTTGAGTGTCGCAAATTTATTCAACCAACCAAACAAAATAAAAATCAAAATGGCACAGCATATATTGTAAATAAATCAAAACAACTGTATATGTAACAGAAAGACAAAGCAGTGGCACATTAAACCAACGCTAGCTGAATACAAAACAATGAATGTCTATTGCATAGTAAATAAACTGAAAACGGTTTCCAAGTGAGACAAGATGATGGAGGAGGTCACCACGAAGGTGCTTACTGAGCTTACTGCTGACCTTTGACTGTGAAGCCGTGAAGGTATGCAAGAGGGAATGAGTTGATGAGCTGGGGATCCACTGCCACTTGATATTTGCCACATCCGTACTGAGCAGTTAAGGATTATTTAAGTGTTTAGATGTAGTCGGCTCTGTGCACAAATCGCTTCAACTACAAAACTGAATTTCATGAGAAATTGAAAGCTTAAACTCACAGGTAGTTGAGCATTTACATGCACAATGATGCCAGTTCTTATTTTTTTTGAAGTTTAAAAAAAAAGGTGTGTCGGGGGTGGGGGCCTCTTAGGTTACTTAAACCACCAAAGATATGGACTACCCAAGTGATGTGGTATGGTAGAAAGAAGTCTGATTAGATTTGGGCCATTAAAAAATACTGTTATCCAGAGTGAAAATCAGAGAGATTCATTTTTCCGAAAAAGTTTGCTAAGAATAGTATTATCTCCAATTTAATAAGAAAAAATCCAACACACCCCTCCTCCTCTGAATAAAATAAAGTTCTACTTTTGTCTGTAAATTGATGTTCAGATCACACATAATTTTTATCTCAGAACCTTGTGGGCTACTGTTAAATATCACAATAGCCAAAAGCACTCGATTATGATTTTAAAAGAATGATGTTTTAAAACTTACTTGTCAGACATTAGAAAAGTTATCAAATTTTTTCACAGTATCAGATTTGGCAAATTTCTATCAAGGTAACGTGGCAAAAATCATGTAATTCAAACCATCAACTCATTTGTCTCCCCTCAAATCTTCTTTCACATACTGGGCGGGCGACTGAGTTAACATGCATTAACTTGTATTCTGAGGGAGGAGCTGATCTTACAAGACACTTGACTAAATGACCATGAAGGAAAATAAGGCACTTTCTTTTCTTTAGACTTATTCCAATACTTAAAAAATAAAAAAGAAAGACAAAAAGGCTCTTTTGGTCTTTTGTTTCTTGACAACCACCAGAAAAAATCATTTAATGAAATAAAGGGTTTCTTTGTTCTTTTTCTTTTTTTTTTTATAACACTTGAAAGTATAAAATGCTACATTTCCAAAAATATATATATTTTTTTCTGCACCAGCACCCTTGTATAGTAAAAGTATCTACTTTTTGTTCATTTGTTTCAATGCACTACACTTTATCTACAATTTCATTACATGTATACAGCAAATAGGCAAGCATGGCTTTTACATCCTTAATGATTTTTTTTCTATACAGGGAGGTTTTAAAAAAAATATTTGAACAGTTTGCCCAGTAATGTGACACATAATGCATGTACCTTGTTCTCGTATACTTTTTAAAGGAGGTTGTAAAATAAAGGTTCAGTAATTTTAACTCAGATATTTATCTTTTTAAAAATAGTGTTGCAGTTTTGTTCTTTGCATTACTTCTCAAAATTCCTTGTTTTTTCTCTCATGGCACACTTCTAATACTTCAAATTTTGGCAGGCAATATAAAAAAGGCTGCAACTTCTGCCCTTTGAGGGCACTGTAGTGACTAAACAGCATATCAAATTTTGAATACTTTTTGAAATCACTTCACCAATGACATCCCTGACCAAAGGTTCATGCATGATGCATCATCACACGGTACATTCAGAGAGCTGTGACTCGCTATGAGAAGATTCCTAGAAGTCTCTCACAGTAACTGCCTCTGTCACTGAGTAGTTAAGGGCCATCTGTCTCCCCTTCTGAAGTGAGGCCTTCTTACCGTTCGCTTAGGGTAGGACATGAAAAGATGATCAGTGCTGTGGGATGAATTGGGCCTTATTGCTTTACTACTATTCAGTGCAGGTTCTAGAACCACTTTCACCCAAACAGAAAGAAAAACCAAAAGCTGAGTTGGAGGACAACAATTTCTTTGTCTTTTGTTTGGTTAGATGGTAAGACGAACGGACAAAGTGCCTCAGCTCGCTGCACTGACGACAGGCAAGCAAAGGCGATTACCAGTTAACTGATCAGCAGGCAGGCATGGTCAGGTCATCATTGGGTGAAGAGTTCAGAGGTCAGAAGGTCATAGGTTAGTTGCCGGTGGCGGCTGGGTGGTTAGAAACAAAAAAAAAAAAAAAAAAAAAAAAAAAAAAAGAAAAGAAAAGATAGAGAAGAGATTAGTTTCAGCTAGTGACGGCTTAATGACAACATGAAAAACTAATCACAACTAATAAAAAAAAAGCATGTTTAATTCTGACAAACTGATTGACACCATCTACAGAATACAATAAAAATCATGACAGTTTCATATCATGATTTGAACAAATGAAGGAGAGCCCACTCCCACAAAAAAAAAAACAAAACTGGTTAACAAGAAAAAATAGAAATAAAATACAACTAACAACTAATAGTTAGTAGCAGTCAATGAAGGAAACTGGAGAACAACAACAATGAATAGGTTTGATATACGGAATTCTGAAACAGTCAGTGCAGTTATCAGTATCTGACTGCTATTAAGCATTAGTATTCTCTCAGATGCAAGCATTAAAGCAACTATTAATGATGGATGTGATTATTAATAACTGATGATTAACAGAAATGAATCTAAAGAAATTTAAATTTCTATGAACAATTTGGTTCAACATAAACTCTGGGCCAAACAAGGTTTCTTTTGTTCAATAAATGTTTATTGCTTTTTCAATTATTCTATTTACAAACAACATGGAATTTCTTGGCCTTATGATACAAAGCAATACTAAACTGTAGTCTAGCAGTGTAGGCAACATCATGGGAACCAGAAAAAGGCCAGGCCTTTTGCGCTGGCCAACACTTTCCAGTTGAAAATACTATTTTACACATATAGAACACTTATAAAATGCACTTGCATGTAAACACTGTAAAATCCTGCCATTTAAAATTCTATACTCAAAAAGCTCTAAGTACATCAAAAAATAGAAGAAATTTCTAATTGATACCAATAAGGCATTTTAAAACTACAAACAGCTTTCTTTATTCAATTTCAAAGCTAATACTCTGCAAATACAATAAAATCTGACATTTCATATACATTCCTGCTTTATATTTTATATTTTAAAAGAAGCCACCTGTAAATACTATTTTCTTTTGCAAAACAAACAGAACAAAAAAAATTAAAAAATTACAGTAAAACATAAAGTAGTTCTCAAGTGGAAAGTTATCGTCCCCAGTGTCCTCGAGTTGTTCCTTCCTTATAAATCAACCTCTGTCACATTCTGCTTCACCAAACTTGGTCCACTTAACAGTAGTATGATTTTTAAGACTCATTCAACAGCTTAATTATTTCTACTATATTCTGAGGTTTGACAGAATTTTCTGTACTGTTGCCATTGTGACTAAGGCAGAGGAGATGTGAATGAAAAATATTCAGTGCAAAGGTAGATTCCATGCCACTTCATAAATCATAACCCAGTAGGTATAATGTTCACAGAGTTATTTGAAATGATCTATATAATGGACTGGTTTACTTTCATATAACAAAAATGCTTTCTAGAGTCTATCATTTAGGATAGTTTATAAATACTACAAAAATACTGTATCTTCAATGTGACCAAATCTTCCCTGAATTTCTTAAAATAAGTGGAATTTTATTTAAAATAAAAACTGCTATTCCAAAATTAAAGAAAATAAATATTTAACACGATGTAGTCATACCACTTCATAGGAAGTACCCCCAAAATACAGAATCTTAAAGCATTTTTGATATTACTTTAAATTTTGATTAAAATTGTATTAAGTTTCTTATACAAATTATGCAAATGATGATTTTTATAAAATCATCACTCAGAAAAATTCTGATTATGTTTTTGGGTGTGTGGAATATATAAACAAAGCAAATTACCACATATGGACCAGTACACCTAGAATACACCCTCTGCCAAGTCCTGGCCTCCTACAGTACACACAGGTGTGTCAACCGTGCAAAATCACTTATGCTTCATTACAACTAAAAAGTCAGTTGGTCTTTTACAGGCTTCAAATTCAGTTTTGAAATATGCGTAGAAGTGGGTTTATTTTTATTAAAGAACTAGATATATTTGTCAACCATGCAGTACTCTAAATACTTATATAAGATTACATGGTTATATGTCCAAGGGCTGAGTTTCCTTGCATTAAATGAATGCTTATTCTTCCCTTCAAAAATTAAAAAACAAAAAAAAAAACAAAAAAAACCTCAAAAATAGAGAAAACAGTAGTATCATAAAATAATTTAAATGAAGGACTTCAGACATCTCCCTTAGACCCAATGAGTGCATACAGTGATAGTAACAGCAGTATACAAGTATTCTGTTATTTAAAGAAAATAAAAAAGGTAGCATTTCGGTTTGCTGACATTGCATTTTGAATAAAAGTGACAAGACTAATAAAAAAATACATATAACTACGAAAGAGCCATGCATGGAATGTGTTGTCATTTCCAAACACTATAAAATCTTCCTAATATTTTCAACTATCTCAAGCTACTGCAGCATTGAGTAGCCAATAATTATTGTGTTAAAACAAAATTATGAGAAATCTCCTAAAAGGGGCAGAAAGGGAAAGATTAATAGAAGAAAAACTACTTTAAAATACTCTTTCAAACTATTTCGGACATTAACAATGTGGGGAAAAAAAGCTTCAAATTATTCATGCAATTATCTGGTTTCCTTTAAAGGTAAAGTGACTTAAAAAAAAAAATTTCCTCCTTCACTAGGAGGCTTGTTCTGCAAGAAGGTGGTGCATACACTTGTACATGACACACCTACAAGGTGCTTTATTGTCACAGATCATCACTGAGCTTGGGGTCTATTTATTTTGATCACTGAATAATCACAAGTAATGTATGTATTAAAGTCTTCAATTCAAGGCTCTCTAATTATGTATGATGCTAAATAAATATCATCAATGTCTTTGGAAGGTATTCTACTCTGATATGGACAACAGCTGTGTCCAATATTTATCATCAGTATTCCTAAGTTCATAGAAGATGTAGGACAGGAGTGTGAATTCCATCACTTTTCCCACTAATTACTAGAGAATCTGATCAACTTAATTAGTAAGTAATAAATGTGCCAATAGAAGCTTGATAAAAATCTTTTTCTACCTTGCTTCGGATTCTTACCCTGTGATGACAAACTTAGAAAACAATTCAATGTCAATAAACCGAAAATATCACTCCTCAAAAACATAAATAATTTATAATAGGGTCCAAGGGCATATACAGGACACAAATTACAAATGTTGAAACGGAGAAAAATGAAGACTTATTTTCCAGTCACAGGTTACTCAAAAAGGATATTCAAAGCTGGATTCATGTCTCCACAGAACTTTAAGATAGTTTACCTTCAGATAATATATTTTAGCAGCAAATGACAAAAATCAAAGGATCCATTTTGGCAGGAGAATGTAAGAGTAAAAGGGAACTGATTTTCTCATTTATTAAAAAAAAAAATCCAACTGCATCAAAGTTATCTTCACAGTCCTTACTTTTGTTGATTTCAGCTGAGTACGTGACATGTATAACCTCATGTTTACACAGTGGCTCAAATATCTTATGAAAAAGGAAAATGGAAACTAAATCTTCAGTTTTCTCCACAAGGACACAGGAGGCATATATTCCTTTACTTCTCTCATTAAAGCACCATCCGCTCAGTTCATTTGCAAAACCAACCCAAAATTTCAGAACAAAGGTAAATTTTAGCAAAAATTACGACTGAAAAATAATTAAGGCGACATCAAAATTTAACAGCTCCCCAAATGGACTAATTTATGTTTTTAGTAAGAATAAATCACAGTACATACTAATATAGGATTTAATAAGTTAAAATAGGGAGCAAAAAAAAGGGGGGGGGTAAGAAAGAAAAGTGAAAAAAAAATCCCAACCTTTAAATCTGTCAATTATGACATATCAATTTAGAAAAAGAAAAGAAATGGTGTGCAGGTAAGCAGTTATATTTTTCCATCAGGTGTGGTGTTGCAAATTTTATGGACACCCAACGCATTTCTTATAAACAAGAACTGCAGAACTAAACTAACCTCGGTCTGCGGTCACAATCCTTTGGTAAGGATGGACACGCATATCGTGCCTTCGAACTTTAGTAGCCACCGCACCTAGTTAAATTGCAATTACCAAGACAAAGTTAGAAAACATTCACAAGGGAAAAGAAAACAAACATTAACAGCAGGTTTATCAAAATGGATTTCAAATGTTCATTTACTACAAAAGGTTCATTTTAAGAAACACGTTAAGGCACAGTAGTTTTAAAATTAACCATAGTATGTTGTGTATATACGCGTCTATTAATATTGCATTCATTTCAAACATCTTGGCCTTAACCTATTTTATCCATTCATTCACGATCCCAAGTTACAGTATTTCATGAACTCTACTAGATCCAAACATATTTAAGCTTTACTAGTCACATATTCACTGAAGTGCCTTTCTCGCAGCAGGACCACTTAAATAATGCCATGTTTAATACTGACAATTATTTGCTAACCTTAAGACCACTTCCAGAGTTTATCACTTAAAAAGGTTTAAAAGCAATTCTTAAAGCCTACAGATTGTGGTTTTAAACTTTGAGTCAATAAGTATGAACTGCAATGAATTAGGTGATTAGTAAAGCAAACAGTATAGTACACTTAGCAGTCAGTATACTACTATACACTCCTTTATAAATTACCGTTACTTTGTAAGATTACAGACTAAACCAAATTAATAACATACTTTTACTTTCTATCAGTGTGCAAAAAGTGCAAGTAAGTCACTGACTGCTAGGCTAAGCTTCCCCCCCACCCCCCCGGAGGCTGCTGAGACTAAGCATTTGTTAAATTCAGATCTGATGAGGGTTCAGTTAAGACCGTTCTTGAATTCTTAGCCTTTCGTTGGGAAAGCCATACCTAAAGATAAAAGGAAGGGAATTAAAAATTAGTCATCAATGAAGATTTGATGCTAATACCAATCTCCTCACTACCACCAACACACATGTCTGCATCTGTTTTGAAGGGCACTGCTTATTTTAAAATAGTATGATGTGAAACTTGATATATATCATGCATGTTATCTGTGTGCAAATTTATTATAACTTAGCAATTTGAAATAATTTTCTCAGTTCTCCAAGTGCTCGTCATGTTTTACTGCTTAGGTGGCAAAGCGAGAAATAGGATTGATAATGGATTTTGGTCATTTAGTACTCATTATTATTCATTTTATGAATGCCAATTAGGTATCTGTACATTTTGCTTTTGTCAGTCTAATAATTATTATAAATAAAAATTTCCCAACACAACAAAAAACACATTGCTTAAAATGAGAAACTGCAGTGCCTCTTGCTGTTTCTAAGCAGTAAACTGGTCCATCACCCCTTTTTCATTTTAGATAAACTAATCTTAGACAAGTATAATTCCACGAGGCAAAATCAGCAAGATCTTGCATTGAGTGCTGGAACAGCAGCTGGTGGCTAAGAGTGCCAGCCCTGCAGGAAGCAACAAACTCCTCGACCAGACGCTGTGCGTGCAGCAGAGAGGAGCTCTGGGGAGAGGAGCAGGCATGGGGCCACAGGACAGAGCGTTAACAGAAAGGAAAACGTAAACAGGTTACATGTTACATGTTATTTTAAAAATGCTTCAAGAAATGTGCAACAGAAACAAGCTTCTCATAAACAATTCTATAGTATAATTCTGACCTGTGATACTTTATACAATGATTTAGAGATAAACGGAAAACATGTACAATAAAATGTATTTGCTCATGAAACAAAAGGCACCTGAGTGCATGCACACACACAGATAACATACAGAGCATTGTGGCTTTCTTTAATTGTTGAACAATGAATTTTCAAGTTTAAATCTTAGTGTCCAGGTTCATAAAGACTTTCAAATTTTTATAAATCAATATTAATGCTGGAAAAAAAAAACCTTAAAAGATCAAAGTCCTAAGAGTCAACAACAGCATGCATGCAGCACCAAGGTCATACACAATTCAAGGAAAAAAAGTATTCAAATTCTGTCTGGTAAAACAAAGGGGCAGCACGGAAACAGTTTGTCCCACATTGACTGGTCGTGTTATAACAGCTGCTGTATTCTAGTCCTTCATCCAGCAAGTCAATGGGCTGAAATATCAGGCATGACTGGCATTTCAATCCACTCTATAAAAAAAAGGCATCAGTAATGTCTTTTTCAAGCACACCACTTTTTGTTCATGTAAAACCAAGCGTTCATAGTATGATCTTAATTTTTTCCTCAAATGTGACTCTAAAACAGTGACTTGGTATTTACTTATCAATTCCATACTGTACTACTGAAATTAGGAGTTTCCCTTATGTCTGATATTAACTAGAACTTCAAAAGAGAAAAACTGAGGAAACCTGAAGAATCCAACTAATTTACCTGGTCTCTTTCTTATTTTAAGCGATCACAAATATTAGAAAACACACAGACAATAACAGCAGTTTTAAAAAAGATCTCAAAATAGTTCCACACAGAAATTTAAAATTTAGTTGACAATTAAATAACTCCCTAAGACAAAAGGAATCTAACTGTAGGCAGTGGAGCCAACGGAGGGTATAGGTCTAACTCAGAACGACCACAGTGATGTCAATGGTGAAAAGTATTGTCTGTTTAAAATGTTTACTGATTTACAAAAGTGAATTTGAGTTACCAAAGAGAATCTGAGCACAAATTTAAGGTGCAATTCTTTAAAAGGGGAGCCATTAAGAGAGGCTGAAATAAAACCAACTTTAGGCTTCTGTCTTCCTAATGGAAACTTGTTTTGATTCTCTAAAACTAATACAATCATTTCAAAGTCTGAGGCACAGAAGTTATGAAGAAAAATACTAGCAGCCACACAGGGAGAACAACTTACCTAATACACCACTAGGTTCAATAGGATACTCAAGGATTGATGTAGCTGGTGCCAACGTGTAGGGGTACTCATAGGGTGTGTAGATCAAACCAGCTTCGGGCCCCGGAGGAACTATTGCAGCAGTCGGGTGAGGAGTTCCGTTTGGCATGACAGCGGTCTGTATCTGTCTGATCAAAGGCATTATGGTAGGGCCAGCTGGCGTAGGGGTACGCAGGGCAGCTGGTGGGAGAACAGGCGCAGGCCCAGTGATAATCCGTGGAGCAGCCTGGGCTGTTGCTGCAAGAGAAAAGGCAAGGGCTGCTACAGTAAGCAAAGAAATGTAGGAGGAAGTGTAGAGACAGCAGTATAAAATATGGAAAATGAGAGGGAAGTAGGAAAAAGAAAGGAAAAGCAGGAAAGAAGAAAAATAAAAGGAAATCATTAGTACATGCGCTGATCACACAAAATGCCAAAGCACACCGATCAAATGCAAACAGCTTCCCCTTTCCCAGTGTGATTAAGAATAAATGTGCAAAAATTATCAAGCCACTGTAAAAAAAATAAAAAATAAAAAAACCAAAACCAAAAGAAAAAAAACCAACAAAAAAAAGAATACCATTAAAATAGGTTATATTTAGTTCATATATTTGATACAACCATGTTTTTAAGATCTCATGATACTAACGATACATGCAGAAGCACATGAAAACACTCACATTAAAAGATGTTAAAAAATTTTTGGAATTGGGAGTCCACAGAAATACAGTTTTGGTTTATTTCTAAAGAATAGCTTAAGTTTCAAATTAAAAAAAGAGTAATTTTTACTGTATTAACTACTAGTTTTATATGAATTTCCTGCATCTGTAATGAACTTCATCGAAAAGACAATATAAAAAATATCCCATTCCTAAATATAAGACTATTAATGATCTATTCTACTCATTCTCATGAATAAATTAAAGCCAACCATTTTGTAAAGCAACCACTTCTGAACCCACTAAACTGCCTATACTTTGGAAAGTTGGCTAGGACTTTAAATTCTACTTCTTTTAAAAAAAACTAGTAATTTAAATGGAGATTATGTTCATTAAAAGACTTGTGAACTTTCAATTGCCTCAAAATATAAAAAAGCAATCCTCTTCAAGTTTATGAAAGCATCCACAGATATATCTAAAAGAAAAATGGGATTAAATGTAGTATCACCTACTGCTCTCTGTGAACTCATTCACATATGAAATCAACAGAGAAAAATACTGGAGGGGAACATTAGCAAGCAAGGTGAAAGGACAGAATTTGACAGAAGGGTCACTGCTTTCAGATACATTCCAAATTATAGCTTTCTAAAAGAAAAAAAGTTTTAAAAAAATTGTCTTTTGCATAAATGTAACAAAATAAGCTAGAAGCCTTAAATCTGTAGTTAACAGAATAGGAAATTTCCTGAAACTCTTAAATTTGGAAGTTGAAATTTCACCAAAACAATAAAGTGTATAAACCCAAAACTTAGACATGCTGGCATAAAATAAAGGAGAAGGTCCCCAATTCATGAAAGCAGTAAAAACGGGACTGTTAGTCTATATCAAGTGACGATTATTTCGACTCTTCACTTTGCACAGCTGTTCATGTGTTGCGCTGCCAAAAGGAGAAAGGTCTGTGGACTACACCACTGATACGGCTCTGCCCACGACCTCAGCCTCGTTCTTACGTGATTTAATGTTGGCATCTCTGTAGGTGCCGTTCAGAATTGCGAGCTCCATCAGCTGCATCTTCTTCAGGCTGTCTTCTCCCTCTGCCTATACATGGAAAACACAAAAGCATAAGCACTTAGGGTGGTCCACATACATCACAGCTGTATCTACTCACAAGCCTTAAAATAAGGAGTATGTGACTACAGTCATCTGCTTCAATCGGGGAGAAGAAGGGAAAAAAAAAAAAAAAGACCAGGGAACCAAAAGGTGCTGACATACTGATACACAGGATACTCTCAACTACCACTAGCTACATTTCTCTGTGGATATTTTTTATGTGAAGTACACACTGATTTATTAAAGTTCCCCAAAAAGCTTTGCTAAATAGAATAAATAAAAATGTTAATTAAGATTAAATATAGTATATTTATTCTCTTCAGCATCATTTTGTAGCAGATTCAAAAACTCAATGTGCTCATTAAAGGGGAAAAAAACCACCAACAATGCATAAAAAAACCAAGCAACCCCCCCCTCCCCACCAAACTGGGATTTTAAACATGTAATATATGATGGTGGTATTCACTTATGAGAATTTTCTGTTTAATTTTCTAAAAATGAAAATTTAATAAAATCACAATAAGAATTTCTAAAATTTGAATATATATTCTGCTCTCTTGTGCCAACATCCTTCTCTCCCCTCAATTAGTAAATACTATCATCATTCTAAAGCAAATCTATCTCTAGGGCCACCATATGATGCATTGTCCAACCCAGGAGACATTTAAAAGTAAAAGCTCCTAACAACTATGTGACTGTGCCAGGCTTAAAAAAACCAGGATTGTCTCTGGCCATCAAAATGTTTGGCCATCCCATTTACCTTGGACTTGCCCCACCCTTTCGGTTGACTGCTGTCACCCTTGTTCTAGTCATTATTGGTGTATTACCAAAACTACTACAATACTATGTTATTGGTATCTGTTCTCCAATCAATCTACACAACAGTAAGATTAACTGCACAAAACACAACTTTTCTTCTTAATGTTCCTTAACATTTTCATATCTTAAAACCCTTCATAGTTTCTTGCTATCTAAAAATATAAACCATTTAAGCTATCTGTGGATCTGGGCCCAAATTATCTTCTCAAGTTAAAGCAATTAGTCTTCTACTATATTTTACACCTATCTTATACTATAAATCAAATCAAATGACTCCATGTTATGCATCCCTGTGCATATTCCTATTTCCCCTATCTTGAATGCTCCTCTGCACTCCATTCTACCCTCCTTCTAAATCCTACCTAATCTCTGCAAACTCCAACCTAACTTCTACCTTCTCAAAGGGCCACCCTGAGATTATACTGTTTCTACCCTGATTTATAGTTTCATGGACATCACCACTACCAAAGTAAGTTCCTTGAGAATAGAGACCATTTCTTATTTATCACTGCCTATATTCCCATTCACCTTGTCCCACAAGTTATTTTTGCTAGGACTTCCAAATGGTTGATACAAAAAATCTTCATTTCCAAATCTCAAATGTCTAAATCCTACAGGATAAGCATTAGCTACGGCAAAAGAAAGCAGTAGACGAAGGTCCATTTACCAAGGTTCTTTCCTGAAGATGGTGGTAGAAGATGGTAAAACCATGTACTACTCACATATTTTATGCATTATCTAATCCTCAGTACTTAATATTTAAAAACAAAGTAACCCAATGACACTTTTTTCTGACCTAATTCAGAAAGGGGCAGGACCAGATGACAAGCTTCTCTGTCCTCCCTTTCTACTGCAACTGTCAATGATACACAAAACTCTGTCCTTGGCACTACAGCAGCAAAAAGGGTACTATAATTTATAGTAAACAGAACTGCTAAATTTGCTTTTAATAAACCACAAAGAATTAAAAAGATGAGTGAAAACATGAAGACAAAGTTTAAGGTGTCACTGCCAACTTTTCAAAAACCTCCTTTGTAGGAGAAAACAGAGAAGATACCCATATGCCTGTGGAATTACTATTCCTTGACTCCTATGAACTTGTACAAAGATGACTGAGAAAAAAGTGAAGTAGTAAGATCTCTTTGAAAGCCATAGCAATTACTTGTTAATGATAAAAATAAGTAAGCATCAGCAACAAAAGGGACAAATTAGCAATCCATTATCTAACCCAAACTCCCTAAACTTGTTCCCTGAAAACTAGTGATATTAAAAACTCATCAAGTCATTTCAAATTCAAATCTATATATAATAGAATACCAGAAGCATATAAATTATCCAATAGGTATACCTTCTTCACTTTCAACAGTGAAACAATGGTGCATGTTTGAAAATATCAAGTAAGAGACAGAAATAAAGATGGAAGAAGTGATGTGGTCAGAGTGCTGGAGAGGTAAGAGGTACGAGAGCGCATGTTTTCACCCAACTGTTCTTTTGGATAACAATATAACCACACTCATTAGCTGGTGATGCAGTGTTCCCAAAGAGAAAGATGATGGAAGAAATACATGCGTGCACATCAGGGTTCGTGCACGTAGGATGTACATATGTGCCTTTTACAGGTGCAGATGTAGTGTCATCAGCAGAGCTCCCCCCGCCCCACCCAAGAAGAGACTAAAACCCAGAGCAGCACAGCTCTCACTAGGCAGCAGCAATGGACTTTGCCACAATGACCTTGCTGGAGGCCACTGAAATTCACAAGTTATGAATTACAGTATGCACACTGATTACATCACATTATGGCAGGCTACACTACACCTCCTAGCAGAGCACAAAATTTAGCTATGAAGGCTGGAATTTAAACCTGGTGTCTCACTCCAGAATAAGCTTCACTCTGGCATCTTCACCACTTCTCCCCACCTCGCCCGCCGTTCTGTACTCACGGAGCATGATGCTGTTGTCTCAAGAGTTTGCAGAGTTCATTACAGAATTACTCTTAACACAGAAGTGGTTATTTAAACCTTCTTGTCCTGGTTTTGTCAATGAAACTTGACATCATATTCCTGCCTGAATGCTGTTGAAGGGGTATGCCATCTGTCTTTCAAATATAACTTCAGATAAGAAAATGTGCTAATATCTTAGGTAATTTCTACTAAGTTTTTTCTATAGTCCAGAGGCTTAGAGCTTTTACTAGCCAGGCTTTGTATCAGGAGTTTATTTGATGTTTCCTCTTCTCTCAAAGATAAAAGCTGATCAAATATGGCATCCTGAAATCATACATCTCAACTCTAGACATTTCAAAAGGCATTTTCGTAGACCTTGCACAGGAACAAACCTCATATAAAGATGGAACACTGGCTTTTCCTTCTGTAACAAAAGAAGCTGTTCTTAACCAACCCAACCTCAAGTCATAAAAGGGTATTTTATAATGCTGAATCAAAGTGGTCATCTAGAACTTTATAAATCTTCATTTCTCAAGTATTTGCTCTATATTTTAAAATCCGATATAATTTATACGCAGTGAAATCCTGAGATCTTAAGTGCAACATCCAGGCAGTTTTGATGAATGCACATCAAGTCACAGGATGGTTCAATCAACTCAAAAAGTTCCGTTGTGCCTCTTCTCACACAAGACCCTCCTCACCCTCTACCCCCGGAAACCCTCGGTCTGATTTTATCACCAGTTTAATTTTGCCTATTCTAGAATTTCATATCATGGAATCACAGAGTACATACTTTGTGTGCCCAGCTTCTTTCCCTCAGCATTATTTATGAAACTCTTCCATACTGTTGCACGTGTCAGTAGCACACTTGTTTTGACAGCTGAGTAGTAGTTCATTTATTTATCGTTTCTTCTGCTATAGACATTGGGATGTTTTTGGATATTGTGCATAAAGCCACTGTGAAAATTCTCATACAAGGTATTTTTGTGAATATAGTTTTTTTCCCTCCATTTCTTGAAGACACACCTAGAGGTGGAATTGCTGGGTCATAGGATAAATGAGTATTTCTCTCATAGTTTGTATGAAAAGCATTATGTAAAGGTTACTGAAACATCATGAGTAACATACCTTTGAAACATAAAAGTTTAAAAAATGTAACAAAGACCTGCTAACTTCTCTATAGGTCCATTGCCCCATATCTAAAACCTGTGACATCAGAAGTATTTTGAGAATTTTTCAGATTTGTATAAAGACAGTATACTAAGGATTACATAACATCCCCGATGGGTCTGGAGGAATACTCCAATAATCCAATCTGTGATGAACATAAAAATACACTAAGTAGGATAAAGACAGATTATTTTTCTTTTCCTTTCTGAACTTTTTGGGGGTTTACAATTATGGAAAACAGATTATGAATCTGCATAAATAACCTATGCACATATTATAATAAATTACAGCTATGTTATCAGCTATGTTTAACAGCTGTTAATGTGACAGATTTGGTCATGGTTAATACTAGATTGAGAGACCAAAGGTCTTAACATTTTTTAAAGTAGAACGATTTATACACTGCTACACCTTAGATATCAGATTTTCATCATCTAAACATTTATGCTTTATAACACATCTATGGCAATGGTACTGTGTTATCCCTGAGGCCTAGACAGGTTAGGCAGCTTATCCAATGTTGCATATGGTCACACTGCACCACTGGCTTCCCACCCAGCGTACCTGACCTAAACTGCTTTACCCTCTCCTCTACATAGTAGTGCCTTTAAGTGGAATTATCTTTTGGATTCATCAAAGACTTCACATAAGAAATGAAGAAAATCATGTTTATTTGGCAGCTTTAAATTTATAAAGCACACATTAAAAAAACTCCACCACAACAATGTAATTAATTACAAAAGAGAACTGGAGCAAATGTATGAACATTTCCAAATCATTATAATGTGATTAGTAAAATAATTTGCCTATAAGAGAAAAGCCTAAACTCTCCAGCTTAGCAATCAAGGCACTGAACAACTTCTATAAGCAGCCCTATTTGCAAATATTAGTCAAAATCATCTGCCCAAGCAGGGGGAGTGGGAGAGGGAAAAAACAAAAGGAAAAAAAAAAAAATCATCTGCCCACTGATCCCCAGAAGCCCACTTTACTTTTCTGCCCCCAAGTTAGACAAGATCCTATCTAGAAGCATCCTCTGCATACTTCTTTTGATAGCCCAGA